GCTTTTTTCAAAGAGCCAGGTTAAGACAGTAATAAATCCACATTCTAAACAACTGAATGAACCTTAATTTGAAAGATCAGAAGGCCTCAGGTAAAAGACACAGACCTACATGTATCCATGCAGGAAGGACTTCTAAAATAAAGTGTTCTTCACCTGGGGAAAACCCCCAAAAAAAAACCTTTTGGACAACATTAAAATAATTTTTTGCACATTATTCAGTATCACATCAGATTGCCTGATGTCAGGGTACACACACTGCAGCACAATAGCGAGCTGAGAATGTGGTAGGGATTTATTAAAGAGTTTTGAAACACATAACACATGGCAAATCTCTTTTTCAGTTGTCTGTCTTCATTCAGCATAATAGTTTAGGGATATTAGCACTCTCTGTGTATTCCAGTCTCTACCGGGTGCCCATGAGAGAGCTGGAGAGGGACTTCTTACAATGTCTTGTAGCAATAGGGCAAGGAGGAATGGCTTTAAATTGAATCAGAGCACCTTTAAATTTGATATCAGGGAGAAAATCTTTACTGTGAGGGTGGTGAGACATTGGAAAAAGTTGTCTAGAGAAGTTGTGGATGTACCTGGAACTGTTCAAGTCCAGGCTGGATGGAGCTTTGAGCAACCTGGTCTAGTGAAAGGTGATGCCCATGTCAGGGGAACTGGATGATCTTCAATTTTCTTTCCAAGACAAACCATTCCATGGTTCTAAGATTCAAAGGGAACAAGCTCTTAACCATGTGACTTTTTGATGAATTTTCACCCAAACCAGAAGTTAGGATCAGCAGACAAGTGTCTACTGCACTTACTAGTGTGCTGTGCACACTAGTAATAAAGTAATAGTGCAATAAAGAGGATCTGCAGTTAAGCCTAACCAGTTAAGCTTTATTCATGCTATGAAGCAAATACCTAAGACTAATTCCATACCATTCTGGGATAAACCTCACTTGCTCCCCATGTAAAGCAAGCAAACATGGCTATCCGTCAGAAACTGATAAAGTGGATTTACCAGAGAGGGCAGAAAGAAAAGACCATACTCTCGTAAGATACCAAAATTATATACTCCATACAAATGCTGGCCTACTTTAAGGGGTTAAGTGTTTTGAAGAAGGGTTCAAGTGGGGAAGATGATGCCACAAGGTGCACAGGGACAAAATTACCAGTTTCAGAGGTAGTATGGAAAGAGAGAGAAATTTACCTATAGGATCACACATTTTCATTTAATTACTAGCATTTAAATCTTTATAAGTTTAAGATAATTCATAGATAAGCAATTCTTACAAAATATGGAACTTCAGCTCATGAGACAAAAAGTCTACACAAGTTTGGCAAAATGTAGTCACTACTAGTGCATAAAAATATAGAGTGTTCCAATTTTGAAGGGATTACATGGTGCTCTTTTGGAAAACATGTACACTGAAAAACTAACATTAATGGTTGAACTTTATTCTGGTACCATGTTCTCCAAGAAAAAATTTCCCCTAGGTATCCACCACTAGTAACTGGAAGTCAAAGAACTGCAAGAATAGAACCATCTGGGATCACCTTGTCAGATCTTTGTCCTGCATCATCTTAACCAAAAATTCAACCACTTATAGGTCAAATGAAAGCTAACATAGTACAACTCTCTCATCCCCTAAAAATAGCTAAAGGAAAGCATGGTCCTGTCATATCTTGCACATGCTTCCTTCAAAAATTTTGAACTGAAGACAAAAATTAGCTGCTACCACAAGGCCAGCTTCAACTTGCCTTCCTCATTATCCTTTATCAAGCTGCTTTACACATCAGAAGTGAATAGCTGATAGGAAAGACACAGCACAGGGACTTGGAACATAAATTGAGTCATGACTGCAGCTTTACAGCCTAGAGATAAGCGAGAGTCTTATCTTCCAACCAAAACAATACGTGAAGCTTTTCTATGTAGTTAATTATCACCAAAAAGAAGTAATTTTAAAATTAGATATCTTAGTATATAAGGGGGGGGCAGGAAGAGATTTCCCAGTAGAAACACTCTTACCAAGAGTAAATACTACCATAAAGATATTTTGGCAGTAATCCTAAACCTCCAGAACCTCTTGGTATTTGGCATATTTTGAAGCAGCGTAAAATAAATTTCATGGTCTTTTGATTATCCACACACTCCATTAGATTCTAGATATTTAGTAAATACCACAAAAATGATGATATATCAACATTTGGCTTTTTTTTCCTTTCCCTCACCGTGAACTAGGCCACAAAATTAACAGGCCTTTTAAAAGAATACTCATACAGCAAATGACCTCCTATAGTGAACAGTGCTTTTCTATTCTCTCTTGGAAACCTCTCAGCTTGCCTACAGTTTTTTCTAGCAGTTTTTCCCTTGGAAAACAGCATGTCCCAAGTAAAGCAAAACAAAGACTGCAGCAGGCAGAGCAACCACTGGGGATTTACCCTCCTGCATACACGGAATTCCCAGAAGAATTTTTTCTGCTGAGGGTGACCACCCAGCAAAATTCCCACTGTGGCACTCCAGCTGGGATGGTGGAAGAGGAAATCTGTAGGGACAACCTCAGTTTCCCAATGTACCCACATCTTTTGTACTAGCATAAATATTCTAGTTAGATTTTAAAACTTCATTACAGTATGTTTGCATCCCAAAAAGCCCTCTCATGAGCATAATTTACTAATATGAATGTGCCTCATAAAGTTTATTCAACTTTCCATGTACACTGAGGTAAGTCATGCTGGTGTAATAAAAACAGGACAATTTTTACCACTTGCATAAATCGCAATTCTGTTTTCACAGATTTATGCAGACCATGCAGCCTCTTCTGATGCTGCAGCCCGGGACCTGGGCTATATAAAATAAGTTTTTCAAAACTTGAAATAGACTAAGCCGCGCTGAACTCTAAGCTACAGATGCTAGAGTGGGACTGACACTCACAGGATCCTGATGAGTGCCAGGTCACACTTGTTGCCACAGCCAGACTCACTGTTTCAGAGAATCACAGAATCGATTGGGTTGGAAAAGACTCCGAGATCATAGAGTCCAATTTATGGCCAATCACCATGTTCAATTAGACCATGGCACTAAGTGCCACATCCAGTTTTTTCTTAAACACCTTCAGTGATGGTGACTCCACCACCATCCTGAGCAGCCCCTTCCAATGTCTGATCACTCTTTCTGTGAATAAATTCTTCCTGATGTCCAACCCCTGGCACAGCTTGAGGCTCATTCCTTTTGGCCCCCTCACTTGTCGCCTGGGAGAAGGGTCTGACCCCACCTGGCTGCAGCCTCCTTTCAGGTGGTTCTAGAGAAGTGAGGGGTGAGGTCTCCCCTGGGCCACCTTTTCTCCAGGCTAAACACCTCCGGCTCTCTCAGCTGCTCCTCATCACACTTGTGCTCCTTCCCCAGCTCCGCTGTCCTTCCCTGGACTCGCTCCAGCCCCTCAATGTCCCCCTTGTGGTGAGGGGCCACGGACAGAGCCACCGTCCTACCCTCCGGCCCCAGCACCCTGCCATGGGGCCGATTCCTGGGAAACTGGAGGCTGCTCTCCCTCCGCTGTGAGCAGGACTCCCTGTCACACTCACTCGCCAGCATTTTCATACAGAATCGAGACATAAACGCGTTTCAATAAGGCTTTAATCCACTTCGCTAACAGCCTTGCCCGTGGCCCCCGCCGGCCGAGGTTCCTGGGCCTGCGGTGCCCTCTGCCGGGCTGCTCCAGCACGGATCCCCGGCCGCCCCCACACCTCCCCGGCCGGGCTTTCCCGGCTGCCAGGCCAGCGATGCCCATTCCCCGGCTGCTCCTCGGGGGCCACAGCGCGGCCCCTCCGCTCTGCCCGCCCCGCCTGGGGCCTCTCCGCCACATTCCGGGCAGCGCTGTCTGCGCGGGGCTCCCTGGTGCCGCACCAGCCGCCAGCACCACAGAGAGGGTTAATCACAGAGTCAGTCCGGTTGGAAAAGACCTCTGAGATCATGGATTCAACATCTGAACAACCACCCACCCCCCATGTCAACTAGACCACGGCTCTAAGAGCCACATCCAGTCTTTCCTTGAACACCTCCAGGGACAGCGACTCTGTGCAGCCCATTTCAAATGTTACTTTGGCCTGGGGTACTGTCACATCTCCGTTCTTTTCACACAGATCAGTCCACTATAAGATACTAAATAAAGATCTATAGTTGACACATAATGTGTCTTTAGAAATAAACTTACATTTTCTGCAGAAAAAAAAAAAAAAAAGTAGCTATCTATCTTAGCCAGTAAGATTCAGTTCTTACAGCTTTCCCCTTGGAGCTTTGCAATCCTCATCACAAATGAGGATTTGCATGCATCCCTACATGCAAAGGGAGTCCTGCATGTAGTCCTTTAGCTCATCATGCTCTATTCCCAAGACCTGGATTTTTAGTCACAGTCTCAAAGTATAAAGAGAAATAGGAAATGGTCTCTCACCCACCACACTACTGGAACTTGGGCACCAACTTGTCACAAGCAGCCAGGGACTGTAGAGAATCCAGATGATCATCTCTGGTGAGAAACTCACCCACCTGATGACTTTTTGCATACACATCGAAATACAAGAAATTCAATTTTAATATAAGAACAAGCTGCTTTACTGCAAGGGTGACCAAGCACTGGCTCATGCTGCCCAGAGAACTTGTGGAGTCTCTGCTCTTGGAAATACTCAAAACAAACCAAACATAGCCCTGAACAGCCAGCTTCAGCTGCCCAGATGCGAGTAGAAGGATTTCACTAGGCACTCTCCAGAGGTGCTTTCTCAACCTCAGTCATCTTGTGATTCTGTGACCATACTACCAAGATTTATGTGAGGGGCACTGCTTGGTTTTGAGGTTTGAGTCAAAGAAAATGCCTTGAAATTCTTGTGTACCGCATTCCTTCTGAAAAGATAAGGTAGGCAAAATCCTCACACTGCCCCAATTCAAATGCAAACAAATATAAATATATGCCATTACTATAGCAGCAGCTTTTTTTCTTAAACTTGGAACAGTTTCTTACCTTACAAAGCTCATCAGTCTCCTCTTTGGCAGGCAGAGAATTAGTGTTTGTGCAGGAGTCCGAGTCCGATATCTCTAGTGAGCCGTCCTCTTTTTCTGACCCATCACAATGATCGGTGGAATCAGTATCCTTCTCCCAGTCAATGAGCTTCAATTCATCTAAAACAGAATATTAGTAAAAAGAGTTTTTCTTAATCACCACCTATTATAAACACAAAGAGTAATACCACAGCTATCCTGAACTTGGGGGAAGAATGGCAACATTATTTTTTACCTATGTTCAACTGATCTTTAAGTATTTTGTGTCTCATAAAAGCTAAATCCTACTAGCTAAAAATGTTCTGTGAGGAAGGATAAAAATGACATACAAAAAAAAAAAAAAGATTGCAAAGTACTGTCTGCAAAGAGGTGGTACACTGAACTGCACAGGTAGGTAGGGTGTTCTTTCAGTTTAGTTATTATTAATTTTCCATAGTTTAGTTAGGGGGCTTTTTTGCCCAGCCGCATTGGATTTTCCTCGTGTACTTGTTCAGAATTAACTGTTCTAAGCAAATGCCTTAAACAGTGTTAACTAACATCTGCTATTAGTGGCAACCCTCACAGAGGACTGAAAAAGCTAGCTGAAATGGTCATCTCTTAGAACACTATGCTTAAATATTCAAGTCTGCAAATCAAATCTCTAAGCACATCAAAGAGAGAATTGTTGAGGACAAATTAAGAGAAACAGGAATAAGAAAAGATGGAGGCAAAAAAACAACAAATGAAAAAGTCCCAAACAAACCCACAATGCAATGGCAATAAAAGATGCAGACAGAAATGCGGAACCTTTTTCCCACCATCCTTAGGATCATGTGGTATTTAATGCAACTCCAAAAGTCCATTTGTAACTCCAAGCATCTACTGAAGGGCATGGAAGCCTGAGCTACAGTAGCAGCCTCAATCCTTTAGGTCCAAATGCCACAAGGTAATGAGAAGTGATAATTTCAATGTGTTTAGCATAAATGAGCATGTTCAAAGGAGAAGGGATGAAAGCTTTTAGGGAGTTGCTTTTCTTGCTTTTGTAAATGTCATATTTCTAACACTGGAATAGTCATGTACAAGGGAGAGGCAGCAGAGAAAGAAAGCACCTACACCATGCTCCAGACATCCGTACATATCCATGGAACTGTGGAAGTACCTTCTGTACTTGGCAGTGCTACTGTAATCTAAATTACTAGTTTCTATACCGACCTTTCAAACTCTGAAGTCATCCAGACAAGCACACAGCTGTAGTGCTGCCTCCTTTTACACACACAAATGCCTTTGTTTCTGACTATGAGGAAGCTTCATCAGAAATTTTAGACATCAGCAATCGGGTAGCACAAAGACCTTTCTTTTGAAGCTGTGTGACAAGCTGCACACAACTTGTGACAATGGTATAAATTCCTTGATGAAATACAAGGCAATCCATTTTATCTTGTCACACTGAAGTACTGACACTCAACTCAACATGAAAGGGAACATCTCTTTAAAAACTACTTTTTCCCTACTGTCACCTCACCTACAATTGTACCTACATATGCACGCACACACAGGCACATTGGGTACCATGCTAAAATTAGTGTATATGATGGCTACTTCAAAAAACATGGAAATTACAGTACTTTAATTCCCCAGTGCTCTCAAGACATTTTTGGGTTTAGAAGAAAAACATGACAATTATTGGATTTTCTCAGTAACCTTCAAGCAGATACATAACACATCAGGGTTTCTTCAATTACAGAGAGAAACCAAATTTTGCTATCTTACAAGCATAAAAATATGTCTGTGCATTGTCTCAAAAAAAAAAAAGAAAAAAAAAAGAGGAAAATTAAAGCCTGCAGGATATACTTGCAGGGGATAAGTGAATGATATTAATGGTAGGTTAGAAAAATTCCTGCTCAGCAACAGATTGCAGTTCAGGAAATGAACAGTCCTTCCTTTTTGAAAAGAAGAAAATGACTAGGAATTACAAAAGATAACCATCAGATAATGGTTAATTGGACAATGACAGTGTTATATAGATGGTAAAAGTATAGAAGAAAGGAAGAAGATTTTGCATTTTTGCTTCAAGCCTAAGGAGCATATTTAAACAGTGTCATGAAACAAAAAGGCATCAATCAGTCAATCTATTTGTTCAGCTCACAGCAGTGTTTGAATGCTTTGTCAGACATCCAGGATCCAGTCTATTTGTAATATTTCAGATCTAGCCAAAGTATTACAAAGTTAACCTAACTTATTTTTACATTGTAAAGACTTCCTAGCAAGTTCTAATGCAACTTAAACATTATCCCAATTAAGCAAAGATTTTTCTGTCTTCAGCTGCACTTTTTAATCAATTTTTCTCCCCTCTGTCATCTCCTGGTCCATGAATTAGAGAGGAAGTTCTAAGAACTAAACTCATGGCTGTTCATATAGTGCAGCTAACGGGGGAAGAAACGGAAGACCTTGTTCCAAAATGAAAATGCATGGCACAGAAGATGATGCTATCTGCAGCTGCAAAGTCTGCCATATCTAGCCAGTAGATGCAGACAACTGTGCTCCTTTACTCCAGGGTTTAAAGTTCTGGTACGTAATTTATACTAAGAGCTTACTCTATACCTAGATGAAATTTATAAAAAAACCCCAAACCTTCCAACTGATCTAGCCAAAATAGGAATGGATCATGTCATTTTATCAGAATGACCTCAAGAATATTTTCATTGCAGCACCTGAAATTGACAGGTTTCTTGTTAAATCTTGCATTTGAACTTACCTTCACTACTTCTGTCCTCTAACAATAAATCATGTCTGTTAGGCGATTCCTCTGCTTTGGAAGTGTCACTTTTTTTGCTGTGCAACCTTGGAATCAATGTCTTATTTTCATCATCTGAAAAATCACTGCCACTAGAGGTCCATATTATGTCTTCAGCTTCCTTAGAACTTACAGCACCAGCTCCTATGAAAAAATATTGCAAAGTGTTAGATTGTTACAGAAATGCAGTTCTGTTAAATTTAGAAGAATTAAAAGTTAAACTGTACTATTTTCAATGGGCAAAATTATAAATTCTATTACTAGGCATCAGAGATTAATACTGAAGTATTAACTCACATGTATTTCTTAGTCATACATGCATTATTTTCAGTTTAGCCCTCAACAATAAATGAATGTTTTATACAATGAGGCTACCACTGTGTACTTCAGCAGTGTGAGGACAAGTCATGACTGTCTGACATTCAGTCCCCCTACACACAGTCCTAACACTCCTCCACTCCCCCGCATGTACCCTTGTAAAATGCTGACTGGTTTAAAGAAAGACTGCCCTTAGAATTCTGGGTTTGGGAGCTCTCTGACTTTATCCAATGTGTAACAAAGAATAAAAGTATTCCATCAGTAGAGATTACCGTTCAGTTTTTTCCTGAGGGAAAAAAAACCCCAGCTTCTCAAGTGTTGAAAAGAAAAGCTATTTTTGAAGTAAGACCTTTTAATTCAAAGTACCTTTCTGCATAATTTTTAATCATAAAAGCAAGAAAAAAAGGATTCATGCTTAGCACAGAGCATACTGAACTAGGAAGGTAGAATTTTCCACTTCCTACCACAAATAAAACATTATAGATGGGAATTTAGATGATTACTGGGCGTTTGGAATTAGGCAGAAGGGCCCAGAAGAGAAAAACACAACCACATCTCCTCCTGCAACACAGAGAGGTTCTTCTTAGAAATCTAGAAAAGCTAGAACCCCAAAAGATAAAAAGAAGTGCCCAGCAGGTCACCTACTTACATCCAACAGAAGCAGCACAGCTGCTGGAGCAAGCAGAAACACAGACTGAAAAATACCACCCCCTCTTTCTTTCTTTTCCTCTGGGCTCAAAAAAAAGGTAAGAACTAGAAAGAGTAAGTCCCCCTCCTCTTCATTCTGCCTAGAGTTCTTTATTTTAATGACAACTTTACATAACTCAGGGGCATACAGAAGACTGTAAAAGCAGGAGGTTGACAAAACTCTGATTTTTTATCTATTGCTCATATTTACAAAATATGTGTTCTCTCATGCCTGCTTGTCTGTCTAGAAGAAGACAGAATAATCTCACAATCTGTACAGCTAAGGGCTATTTTTCATTCCCTTCTAATAAAAATGTGAAGGATTTAAATATCCCATCCTTGCTATAATACACACTGTGTACAGCATTAGTGATGCTTCTTTCACCTTTTCAAAAGCAATAGCTGAGTGCCTGCAGCTTTGCAGAATACATTTCTGGCACTATGGGTGAATAGATGAGCCCCACCACAATACTGACAGACTGTGTATCTTATCAAAATTAGCTTCTAATTACAGCTACAGAAGAAGAAATCAATCAGTATTTTGAGCCAACTTCTACCCCAATATAGGACAAAATAAAGTAACAATATTCTGACAATGTTAAAATGAAATAATCAAAACATACCAGATGCACTTTCAGCAGCGGTTAACAGTGGTCCAAGATGCTTCTTAATCTTGGATTTCTTACTAGAAGGCCTCTGGGACTATATTAAAAAGAGACAGAGATTTAATCATGAAGACATTAAAAATAATTTTAACAAGTATCAATATATTCAAAGCTGTTGTTATTTACCCACCAAAGCTCAGCAGAACAATTTCAATTTCTTTTAAAAATCTTTTACAAGACTGTAATATAATGAGGTATTTAAACATGAGAACAGTAACATAAAATCTGAATTTTCATATATTTGGAAAATACGAACTTTCTGTGACTGACAGAGATCACACATGACCTTAAGAATAAGAGCCAGTATTTTCAGCACTAAAATGTCAAAAGTGGGCATCACAACATGCTTGGTAAAGCATGTGTCCTACTGAAAAGTTACAGAATTACTTGGTTGCCCTGTCTCTGATTTTACTATATCCCACAAGATATGCAACACCATGACTGCTCCATACCAGAAGAAACAGAAAAGCAGCTTGGGGTCAGCACAAAATATTCTTCATTCCAAGCTGGCTGATCAAGCAGGATTTTCTACACTTAATTCACTCTTGCAAACATATTCTTTAGGTCTAGCAAAAAATCGTCAGATGCAAGCTACAGTATTTTTGTTTCATATTTTTCAGGAAATGTAGCACTCAATCCCAAATGTCAAATTACTTTTGCATCCTTCAGTGTATTATTGGAATTTTCTAAGTGATAAGTGCTATCTAGAACACAACATATTAATTTATGCTCAGCAAGTTACATTAACAAGTTAAGACAATATCCTTATGTAACTGTGCTTTCCACTTTTTGTCTCTTTTGACAGTTGCAACAACATGCTGTTAGTTTGGGAACAACACCAAAAAGAAGGCAACATCTTACTATTCAGTCAAGCATGGAAATTCACTGTCAGTTTGCATCTGTTACACCACTAAGGCAGCATTTTACCTCCAGCAATGAAGTGCTCTGAAAACCATCCCCACACCTAAGCCACGCATTGGAAATCCAAGCAGCAGACACTGATGTCCTGACATTTGACTTTTTCAGATGCAGAGGTGTCTCATCTGGGAATGGTGTGCATTCTGCATTCCACAGTCTCTTCCGCTAGAGAAAGGAAAAACAAACCCATTAAAAACACTGTCTAGACATAATTTCAAGTTAAATTTGCTTAATCTAGGCTACCCCTAGTATTTTCTGAATGCTTACAAACAAATTCTAATTTTTAATAAGCTTGGGAAAAAAAACCTCAACCATTTGCAAGCATCTTTTATGCAGCACTAAATAACACCACCACCAATGTCAGAGGTAAATTAAATTTTTAGTAAGTTCACTTTGTATTGGACTAAGTTACAATTCATAGTACCCGATAGCTGCTCAGTGAAGCTGAAAATACTGTTACACAAGAATAGCTCACTAAAATACACTTTAACTAAATAATGCTTTCAAAGTCGTATTTAATCTGATTGGATTTTGTTTATGCAGGAGGTCACACTAGGTATCATTATACAGTTCACCATTAAAAATAACCAGTCAACCAAAAAAACTACCCCAGATTCTTTCAGCTGTAAGAATTACATTTATTTTCACAACCATTTCCCCATCAAAAACATTGCCTTACCCTTATGGGATGCTGGAAATCATTTGGATTATTAGATAAATCACAAAACAGGATGCTGATTATCATCCAGTGCTAACTTCATGCAAGAGATTGTAATATCTGAAACAGCTAAAGATTCACGACAGAATTGCCTGTTATCAAATCCAAAGCTATCTCTCAGATTCAACACCAGTTTACACACAGAAAATGAACTTAAGCATGATAATAATTTTATCCTACTGTGCTGCTGAAATTTATCTTAGAAAATGTTGATTGTATCATCTGAGTATGTCTGTCTTCTGATATACCTTCTCTCAACCGACTACAGTTCCTACCTGTAAATAATTATTACACCAAAGTTAAGTTAATCAGCGCACACATTTTCTGCCAGGCTGGTCAATTAGGATTGTAACATACATGTCAAATATACGCAAAACAAAAAACCAAAAAGTAGAGTCACAGAATATCCTGAGTTAGAAGGGACCCATGAGCATGATAGAAACCCAAATCCTGGCCCTGCACAGCCCCAAGAATCACACCATGTGCCTGAGAGCACAAGCATTTGGCACTGGTTTTCCATTTTGCAATCCTGGCCCTGCACAGCCCCAAGAATCACACCATGTGCCTGAGAGCACAAGCATTTGGCACTGGTTTTCCATTTTGCAAATGGCAATGCATATTTGTTTTCCATAGGGTTTTTTTTTTTCCAGCACTCTTGAGAGTGAAACAAGCAGTTTCCAAAAGCCTACAGTGAGCAGCATCAGTCACAAAGTCCGATAAGAAGACAGAGTGAAACAAACACACTTGGCAGTTTCCACTGATGATAACTGACCCTGCTAAGAGCCTCTTCTAAAACTGCCGGGGGGATTCAGACCTCAAAGCACCTACTCATTATCACCAAAGTCAAACTGTCCCCATAACTACTCCCATAGAAAGGTACAGTCTTGAATCTGACCTGGTAATAAATCCAGAATTAACAGTGCTTTGGTAAGGACATCATGTCAGCTAAGGAGAATACAGCAGTTTATCAAGAAAGGTTAACATGACAACACAAAGAGAATTTAAGCACTGCTTCCCTCCCAGTGAAGATGCTGGCCCAAGCCTCGATTTTCAGAGTGCTTAGGCAGGAATTTCTACATTGGGCTGTCCTCTTGGCAAGTGCTTCTGATGGTTTTTAGCTTTCGCCAGTGCTAGGAGTCTTGCTATATGCCTGGTTTTGTAGCTTCTAGAAGATTTTGCGAGATATATTTTGCAGACATACAGTATCAAATACAGTTCACCTAAGCTTGTTTCTTGAATGGGATGCTCCAGTTTTGTCTGTGCCAACAGCAGCACCATAGCTTACAAGCAGGTTTACAAACACCACTTCTGATGGTTACTTAAAAGCAGAAATGGTTGCAAATAAGTGAAAAAGAAATGCATATCACTGCATGCACTAAGTGTTACATGAAATAGGCATTGTAATGTACTTCTACTGTTAGGAAGCTTAATAAACACAGAACTAGGGAGTTACTCTCTGCTAAGTCTCTCATTCATGTTATTCTTAAAATCATAACATTTCCTGACAGATAGGAAATCTCAATGTCTCTATCCTGTGCAATACCAATGGAACAAAGTAACACCACGACACAAGAGGAAAGGGATGAACAGCAGAATGTGGCAGCTGAGATATGGCCACCACTGCACAACTGCCACAGTTTGGGAAAGGAATACCATACAAGAATCAGCAGGATAAAAGCCACATGTAACTCCCTCTAGCTAAGTAATCCCTAAGGTTAGGGTGCATATAGAAAGGATATGCTTACAGTCAACAATGTTAGAAAAGCAGACTGAGTAGAACAAACAGCTGGGTTTATGCTTAGATGGTTACGCTTATATTTAGAGTTCAATGTGAAGTTGCACTGGAAGTGACTTTTAAACACCTGAAATTCAGAGTACTAGACAGTCATGGCTGTGACAGGCAAAAAGACTTTTCATAATTCATGACTTCACAGCAGAAGAGTTTTAGTTAATCCTGCACTTCCTTAACCTGACTAAAGGCAGGGCTGCTCAGGTTTTCAGAGCAGCACTACAGAGCTGTCTCAGGGCAGATGACTCCATGACAAACCAGAAACAACTGGAACCCCCTCTTCCTATTCTTCTTCCAAAGCACTTGGCACTCGCCAGACTCTGTGCAGACACAGCAATGATGAACCAAATGGTCATAAAACTTCTTTGGGAAGAAGCACTTGTTATCTACAGCTGATGCAGCAGCAGAAGAAAGGATAGAAGGGTCGGTGGGACCGCTCCAGCAGCTGCTTGACACCATGTCAGCTTATTTACAACCTGAAGAACCATCATTACTGCAGACAGATCTGGTTAATTAGCTCATTGTTTCACCATGCACCCTGCTCCCCAGATTCAAGAAAATTCAAGAGTTTCTGCTACCATCACACAGAAATTTATAGCCACTAAAATCATTGAGAAAACCTGAAAACAGTCCCTGAAGTCCCAAACCAAGAAAGTAAAGAAATACACCCTTTACATGAGATGTTCCTCAGCTACTGCAAATTCTTGCAGACACCACTTGGAAGGAAACAAAAGAGAAGGATTTATGATTGTTGATACTGACAGCAGTGGCTTTGAGTCCTGTGCTACGAATACCTTGCCACCATTTCCCACATCCTAGATCACCTTAAAAAACTGAAAAAAAAATAAAATAAAAGAGACAATTACCTCATCCCAAACTCCCTGTTAATTTAAATATCTCCATGTAACCATTTGATGTGAATTCATGAAACAGGACCTACAGCTTCAATCCAGTTGCTGAGAGAGCCTGGGAGCAGGTGCAAGGGAGCTGAGAGCAGCCTGCAGGGCCTCTCTTTGGCTCTTTGCCTTCAGGCACGGTGGGAACAGTGCCAGTGCTGGGGACAGCACTGTCACCCTTCACCTGCAAAGCCACCTTGGCACAGAGGGGTGGTGTCCAAGGACTTCTACCACAAGAATACATCTGCTGGCATGCAGAAATAGAAAGTTTTAAAGGCTCTTAGCTTCTGCCCAAGCCTGCTTTAAGGCAGCAGAGAAACAAACACTTTAAGAAACTTACTTCCTAAGAATAAATATTTATAATGAAGTTATCTGAAGACTGTGCTGTTCCCAAAGAAATGCAGCAACAATTGTAAGTTCTTTTAATCTTGAGTCACAAGGTTAATCATCTTTTTCTTTTAATCAGAAATAAAAACGGGGCACACAAAAAATAAGTGGTGTAATTTACTGAAGGAATGCATAAAGTGTCTAGAAACAAAGTATTGGAATTAAAAAAAAAATTAAAAAATCACTGAATCAGGCTCAAAAGAGCTAGAGTGTGTAGACCTGTCACACATCACAAAATCAAGATTTATTACAAAACAGTCGAAAAACCATGTAAATTGTGTTAAGTGTCAGAAGCCAAAATATGACCTCTGAAATTCTGAGTTAAAAAGGGCAAGGCTAGGATGGCTATGTCATATAGAAATTGTCTTGACCTCTGTTCCCAAAAGCATTGCATTTTGTCTCTGGAGCAGTTCCTTCTAAATAAGTGAAAAAAAAAAAGAGTTACTCCTGTTGGCATAAGTGGAATTAGGATCAAGCCCTCCTAATAAAGGGCATCGCAAGCAACTTACCCCATTACTCCTTTAGTTATTATTTGAGTTATTAGTGAGATAAGGTAAGTCAGCCTACATGGTGCAGATGTGAGGAAAAGGGAGGCACACTCTGAAAACACCACGAAAATGCATAGCGATTACACAACAGACTACTGCAAGTATGGGGCTGGGGTGTTGGCTTTGACTTCTAAATAGATGTTCCTATCTAGAACATCTCCAGTCAACCAATCTGCGTGGTTACTTATTCCCAGGACTTCTTGCCCTGGAACACCCTATATAGTCACTGGGACCATATGCTCAAAGGCTACTCATTACACACCCTTTACACTCCAGACAATCCCACTTCTCTGGGACTACCCCCAAAACCACAGGAAGAACCCGCAGGAGCACATCACCCAATATATTATCTACCTCATATGCAAGTGGCTTTTCTTTGACACATCACCTTCTCTGACACAAAAAGCAACATAAGTTGAAGGAGAAAACTAGTGATAAAACATTTCACCACATTAACTCCTCCTGCTACAGGCTTCCAAATCCAAAAATTTATCACATCACTTAAACATCAGTCAGAAATGTTCAAATACAACTGTTACATTCTTGTAGAGAGAGTAGAATGAAAAAGTATTGAAAATCACAGCTCTAGTTGACAGAGACTCTTCATGGTTTTAAAAAAAAAACAAAGGGAGCAATCACATAAAAGTACGCAGATATCAAACACTAAGCAACAGCCACCCTCACCTTTCACCTTTGTTCTTATTGATTTCACATGAAAGTACTCAAACTGAAACACCTCAGATAGTGTTGGGCTTCAAAAGCCCAATTTCAAGATAGTACAAAACTGAATTTGACAACAGGCACCTGATTTTCAGCAAAGTGCAGTATTCATGATACTGAGTTCCTAAAAGTGCAACTACTCATTTTAGTGGCTAGATAAAAAGTTCTAATTTAATATGAAAACGTCCTTGCATTTTAAACTCTCAAGGGAGGACTCAAATAAAGGTTGCAGACTTAAAGTCAAGGCTTGTAGCTTTTTCCCAGGAAAGATTATTTTTTTTACTCCTATAAAAACAGTATGTTTATTTCCAAAGATGATTCACAACAACACGTGTGGGCCCTAGAAAGGTTCTCATCAAGTTGTAACCATTCATAAAAAAAATTTATACTGTATGATCATAGTCAATGATAGCAGTGATAACCTGCCATTGCATACCTCCTTCTACTCTCATGGGAAAGAAATATTAAACAAAATTAAAATCTTAAAATAAGATTCCCATTGCTATTCGTGTGAGACCAAAATTTTTAAAACACTCTTTTAAAAGCTTTCTTTGTGCTCATGATTTTTTGCTACACCAAATGAAAGACTATTTTCCATGACTTACACTGACATATATAAGATTACCATTTGAATGTCAGGATTTTTTAACCTACACCTCCTTTTTTAAGCAAGGGTATAAATTATAATATGCTTACATTGAAATAAACTTTCATGGAATAAGAATACTATTGAAGTATACTTTGTATTAACAACTAATGCCAAGTAGTTACAGAGAAATCCTCAATCTGTGAAAGCAGTTAAAGCAGAAGTATTTTAGAAAAGCTTACACAAAATTAAGTCATCCAAAATGTTTAGGATACAGTAACAGCATCACACATTTTTGTTACATCTCAGGTTGGCATGGGTTTTTAATCAGCTTAATTAATAGTGAGGAAGTGAGGAGGACTGCTCTATTTTCCCTTGATCAGTATAAATTTTCATTCATAAAGTAACAAAGAATATTATCTTGGCCAGCAAAAGGAGTTACTATTATCACAGGCTGTTATCACATTGCAACAAGAGTTGGTGAAATATTGTTTCAGTTAAGTGTGCATTTTTTCACTAGCCAAGAACTTAAAAGTCTTGAAAAGAAAACACGTATAGTGTCAATATTTCAGGTTAATTTATGTGTAGTAGGTTATTTTGAAGCTTGCTGTTGACATTTTCTTCCATTAAAATTTATTTTAAATGTGTTTATATTTAAAAAGTGGTTGAACATGCACACCAGTATAGACAAAATTCTTCAGGAACCAGATCTGTCATTTGCCAACTCTATTTGCCAGCTCTATATACCAACATTTACAGTCCCTCTTTCAGCAGTACCTCAATATTAACCAGAGCCAGCACATCCTAATTGCCCCTCTGCGGGGAACATCCAATGCACCAAGCAAATTACCAAAGCAGAGGGACCGAAAAACAGCACGGGGCGCTTCTCCTCCCTCCGCTCCCACACAGGGAAGGAAGCCGCTCAAAACAGTATCAATGCCGGCCAGTTCCCACAATTCTCTTTTCCTCTCAAGTTCCACTCTCCCTGCACTGTTTCCCCGCCTGCCCTGTAGCAAGGCCGAGCTCCGCTCCCCTCGGTGCGGCGGTGCCACGCTGCATTTCCCTGGCAGTGTTGCGCAACCGCGCACACCAGGAACGCGGGGAAGGGCCCGTGTTCCCGCCCCGCGTTCCAGCCTGGCGAGTCCGCAACACAAGTACCGCCTCGGAGCCGGATACGAAAGGGCAGCGAGGGCACAGCGCGGCGGCGGCTGCTG